TCGTGATTTCCTTTATTGGAATATTCTTTATTGTGTGACTATTTAAAAAAATGCTACAGAAGGGCCTTTAATGAACAGATACTCCATTTTCATCAATACTGAAATATATTTTCAGAGTCTACAGCTTTTGATAGTAGTATAGAGCTCTTTAAAAATGATGGGTAGCTTTTGGCACAGTTGTACAGATGTTTTCTTTTATTACTCAAATATATTTTAATATTCTGAAATATAAAGGTAGACAGTAAGGTCTTAGCATTTTCACCCAGGAAGATGAAGGAAGGAAGGAGAAGAGGAAAGAAAGAAGTATGGAAAGAAGGAAGGAGGAAGGAAAGGAAGGAAGAAAATCAGGGGCTAAAAATATGGGGAAATATTAGATGAACATTCCATTTCTACAAGTTTCACAGCCAAAATCTGTATTTGTGGTGTTTTATGATAGGGCCCAGAGTGCTGCTGGGTGTGGTGGCACACTCTTATAATGCCACCACTCAGGAGGCTGAGGCAGGATGGTTGCCATAAGTGTGAGGCCAGCCTGGGCTACATAATGAGTTCAGAACTAGCCTGAACTACCCAGACTTTTGTCTCAAAAAAGAAAGAAAGAAAGAAAGAAACACGACACAAAGGATTAAACCTAATTAAATCTATTAATTCAATAAAATTCTTTAACAACCTTGGTAATGAGTGGGTCTAAGAATTTAAATAATACGTCAAAATCACCAGCAAGTATAGAGTCATAATTAGAACTTTGAGCTATTAACTCCAGAAACTTTAGCCACCGTACTGTGGCGTTCCCTCTAATTATGAAACAACATTAATGGAAACATTTACAGCCTTTACAGGTCACGCTTCAAAAGTGTATCTCAAGTGTACACAAATTTAGATTTTAATAGAAAATAATTTGACAAGAAACAATATTTTCTTGTGGTTAAAGTGTTAATCCACATTTCACAGCCACAGCCTTCTCAAGTAAGCAAATAATGCAATCTTCATTCTAATTGCCCAAGCCAGAAATCTGGCATTAACCCTAATTTCCTTTATCACCTCCATGCAGTTAAATCAGAGTAAATTCAGTTCTACTAAACCCAACAAACTCTTGAGGTGGTCTCACTTTTTTACTACTGTTTGCCTGTCCTGAGTGTGGCCATGGTGTTCTTTGTTTACTGTGCTTTTTCTCGTAATGATCTTTCTTCCATCTATGGCCTTTCCCAGCTTCCCCAATGGGCAGTTTCTAACTGAGGATTCTCAGTTTACCTCGTTTAGGAACACTTTTCTGAACCTTCTGTAGTTTCTGCAGTGCCTGACCTTGCCGTGAACATAATCGTTATGACACTAACAAAGGTAAAGGTCAATACAGACTTTTTTCTTCTCATTACCGACTAATGCAATTGGGCATTCAACAGATGCTCAGTGAATGTTGCTTTATGAACTGATTTCTTTTCCAGCGTACTTCCTTGCAGTCTCGGTGTAGTTAGGATGATGTGTGTGTCACCCATTCCCTCCATGAGAAAACCAGAATACACAAGTCTGATTGTCTGATTGTGCATTCAGGATGGTCATCCAAGTCACTGTGTCTTCACCTTTGCCTAGAAAACTAGGGTCAAAACATTTGCGAATACATTTTAAAGACTTACTAAGGGCTTTGTCCTCTGTCCAAGGGGAGATATGGTTAGCTGACTGATTAGGGAAGTCATGGCCGCTAAAGATGGACGATGTGTGGGGTAAATGAGGAGGAAACAAAATGGAGTTTGTTGTGTTAAGTAGCATCGAATTTATTCTGATTTAACTGCTTGTAGGTGGTGAGGGAAATGAGTGAGTGCCACAGTTCTATATTGAGCAATTAGAGTGAAGATTGTTACTGTTTGCTTGCTAAAGTAAGAAGGCGTGCACAATGAAAATGAAAAAGGGGAAAAGGAAAGAAGAAAAAATTAGAGGCAAAGATCTGATTTTATGTACTTTTAAATTTGAGTCTGCTGGAGATACATCTGTAGGTAGGTTTTTTTTTAAACAACAGTTTGAAAATTAAATTGAAATATTAGTTTCTTGAACCTAAGTGAAAAAGAAAAAAAGATTTTGAAAGCCTTTTATTATCATGAGGATGATGATCTCTGTGACAAGTGGAAATACTTTTTGGACTGGTTTGCTAGTTTATATAATATTTATTTATTTTTTTGTGTGCTGGGTATGAAACCACTGAGCTAAATCCCCGGTTGTATATGCAACATTTAAAAGATAAAAGTTTTACACTAATAAATTGACATAAGTAATCATGTTGCAATTCTGTTTTCCCAACTTAGTATCGTTGGCTTAGCCGGGGATTTAGCTTAGTGGTTGGTTATGCCACCTGCCTCACAAGCGCAGGGACCCAAGTTTGATCCCCGGTACAAAAAAAAAAAAAAAG